CATCACGCCAGCTTCCCTTAATCTCATTAGAAGGCCAGCCAGTTGCCATGGTGATTACTGGCAGGCCCAACCAGGGCCAGCTCTGTCTGGAGCATGGGGCCTCGGCGGGGCTAGCAGGTGTGGGTGTCAGTGCATCCTGTGCAGGGTCCCAGAGGATTGGGCGCTGCCCTGGAGAAGTGGCCATGTCTGCCATGCAATGCCTTCCCAGGGCCATTGGTCCCTGTTCCCCAGTCTTGTGGCCCCCGCTTCACCCAGGCCCATGGATGCCACCAGGATGAGGGGCCATGCCCAGTAGGGGCAGGGGCACGGACAGAGGCTGGGGATGCATGCTACACTGGGTAAGCCCCTGTGGGATCCCGTCAGAAAGGGGGGCCAGGGGAGGCCGGAGAAACCACCACTGCACAGGGCTCTGCAGGGGGCTGGGCATCGAATGGAGATGGGGAGAAGGGTTTTGTGCACAGGGGACTTGGGCACAGGCTGTGTTGGGGGCGAGGGGGCCCTACCTGGAAATGAGGGGCCCAGGGCTGAGGCGGGGCCAGAGGTGGCTTTTTATGGTGGAACTTATGCTGGGCCTGCCCACACAGAGCTGACGTGGTAGTCATCGTCAGGTTGGTGCTCTGACCAGAAGCTCCCAGAGGAGCAGGTGCACTTTTGCCGAGATGCGACGTGGCCTCTGTGACACTCTGCAGTCCCAACTGCCCGCTGGTCTGCAGGGTCATACAGGGGTCAAGTTCCAGGAGTGGGGTGCCTGCCCCGCTTGGCCACTTCCGGGTTGGGTAGCCTTGGGTAGTTCCCTCACATCGAGCCTTGGTTTTCCCATCTGGAAAGTGGAATGTCCTGGTACCCACCTCAGAGGGCCTGTCCTGGGTTGAATTGTGTCAGCCATACGTCTGAAGGTGGGAGTGCTGGATCCCCAGGAAGCAGTGCAAAGAGGTAAGCAAATCTCCTCCCCCTGCCCAGAGGCAGCGATCTGTAGTGTGGGACCTTGCGCAGCAGCTGGTGCATGACCGTGGCAGGAGATGGGGGAGCTGTCAGGCCTCTGCAGGAACACTTTTGCTTTCGGAGTTGCATCCCAGCCTGTGGGAATGCTCCTCACTGACACAGCTTGTCCACCGTGTGGGCACTCCCGCTCCCACCAAGCCCAGCGGCACAGGTGGACTGCCAGTGAGTGCAGAGTGGGTGTGCTTGTGCGTGTGAAAGAAAGCCCCCTCCCCTCCCCTGCCGCCCAGCACAGCAGCTCGGCTGGTCGGTCAGGGCCACAGTCTGCACCAGAGCACCTGCGCCTGTGTGTGGGACCCACTAAGCAGCAGTGGCCAGCAAACGCAGAGAGCCCTACCAGCACAACTTCCAGCAGATGTGTGGGTTCAGAAAACACAGCTCCTGTCCCCTGCAGTGGTGGCAGGTAGACTCTGCCACCAGATGCTACCACTATGCGCCAGCAAAAGTCCAGTTCATCAAACAGCAAGAAGAAACACGATAACACCCCTGATCAGAAGGAAAATGACGAGACAGAAACCAACCCTGAAGACACAGAAATTTACAATCTAAATGACACAGCATTCAAAGTAGTTATCATAGAGAAATTCAGCAAGTTACAAGAAATCTCAGAAAGACAGTTCAGTGAAGTGAGGAATAAAATTAACGAGCAGGAGGGAGTTTTCACAAAAGAGATTCAAACTCTAAAAGCACACCAAACAGAAATGCTGGAGATGAAGAACACAGGCGACTTGAGGGAGCGAGGAGTGGAGAGAGCAGAGGGCAGGGAGGCCACGGTGAAAGCATGGGTAACGGGGCGCCTGCCCACCCTCAGCCCAGACCCTCCAAATCTAATGTGGGGTCCGCTCTCACAGTCGGGGAGCCTGGCTCAGACCATGGGCTGTCTGACCCAGAGGCCACAGGCAAGGGGCAGCCCAGGGAGCTGCAGCTTTCCCGTTCTACTGGGTGGCCTCCAGCACATGATGGCCTTGTCCAGGCTTTACTTCCCTGGCTGCCTTCCCACGTGGCCAACAGCCACAAGGATAGGGCGGGGGGAGGGAGAGGCATCTAAGCCCCGTGTCAGCCCCAAGCTTCCGTGTGGGTGTCAGGAGCTGTGTTGGCATCCTGAAAGGTCCTTGCATGGCCTCTAGGTGGTCCTGTCACCTGGCGTGTGAAAGTTGGCTCCCAAGCGTGGGAAGGGCAGTGTTTTTTCACTCACTTACATGTTTGTACACGTGTTTGTTCCACTAGCAGTTGCTGCTGAGTGACGGGCCCTGGCTTGGATGCTGGGTTTACGGAGCTCTGTTGGTGAGATTGAGGGGAAGTGCCATTTGGTGGTCTCAGAGTAAGGACCTCTGGGTGGAGAAGTGCATCAGGGACCATGGCCTGGCAGCAGGAAGAGGCATGAGCTTCACTGTCCAGCAGCTTGTCAGACCCTGTCTGGTGGGTCACTCTTCTGTTCTCTCTGTGGACCCTCTGAGGCAGCAGGTCCATGGGCAGAGCCTTAGGTTGGCATTTCCTTACCCCAGGACCCTACTCCTGGGGGTTCCCAGCCAGGTTGGAGGGCAGTCGGCATCTGCAAAGTTAGGGCGTACCCAAGACCACACTCAGGTCAGCAGTCACTAGAAGCTCTCAGAACTCACTGAAGCTGTTGTGCACGCAGTTAGGGTTTGTTACAGCAGAAGGGCCAGATTGCAGTCAGCAAAGGGACGAGGTGCATGGGGTGGCATCCAGGAGAGCTCCATGCACGGAGCTTCTTGTTGTCTCCTCCCCATGGAGTCATGGGGACAGCGCTTACTTCCCCCAGCACCAATGTGTGACCGCACGCATGGTGTACTGCCACCAGGGACGCGCCCCAGGCCTCGGTGTCCAGGGTTTTTATGGGGGCTCACAGAGGTGGACCCGGCTGACTGCCTGCATGGCTGACCTTCGTCTCCAGCCCCTACAGAGGGGAGCTGAAAAGACATGACCCAAGACCCCCACCCGAAATCACACTGTTGACATAGACCACGCAGTGTGACCCAAGGCCCCAGGCAAACAAAGACACTCTTATCAGGCAGGACTTTCACCTCCCAGGAGCTGTGGGCAAAGGCCAGACCTCTCTGGGCCAGGTTAACTCTTTCCTGTGCAGCCCCACATGCCACCAAGGATGAGCACAGGTTCCCCCAGAGGAAGAGCGGGCCCCCCACATGCATCCACTCCAGACCCAGAGGCCATGCCCCAAAGTCTGACAGTCGCACAGTCCCTAGGGGTTGGGGGTGGGCGACCATCGGGGAGAGTCTCCGATAGAGGTGGGGCCTGGGTGGCCCAGTGTTGCAGCAGCAGGCAAGCTGTGAGCATCCTGTCAGTCCCTGATCCTGTAGCTCATCCCCAGCACTGGGCTCCCCCTGGCCCAGGACGGGGCAGCTTTGCCTTGCATACGGGGGCTCCCAGAACTGGCGGGTCAGCCTGTGACGAGAGCACATGTGGCGTGAGCACTTTTTCTGTCACACACCAGGCATTCACGCTCATCCAGACAACTTACTCAAGGGAGGGGAAACTGAGGCCCAGGAGAAGGCCATGGCACTCCAGGGCCACGTGGTTCTTGAGAGGCAGACACCATGCAGGCTCCTGCCTCATGGCTCAGACACAAGGAGGGCATGGGGGGGCGGGGCCTCAGGTCAGAGGTGACCTGTGCCCACCCTGCTCGGCCTCTGCCCCCTCTGGCCAGGGTCTGGCCTGTTTCATCTCTCATGACTGTGGGGAAGGACACAGCGGGGGTGTTCACAGTCAGCGTCTCCAGCCGTCAGACGCAGACCCTGGGCCGGGCCCCCCAGATGCCCAGGAAGCACCGTGAAGGAATGAGAAAGGTCAGTCCCCTTCCCGGCTACAGTGTGCTCGCAGGAAACAGCTGTTTACCTGAGTGAGGTGCTCGGCCGGGCAGGCGGCCAGTTCTTGAGCTCTACTTCCCCCCCGGTGTCCGGGGCCCCCGGAAGGCTGGGGCTGGCGCGCGAGAGCAGGGCGGCGCGGGCGGCCGGCTCCCGGAGCGCTGCCAGGAGCTGTTTGTGAGGGAACGTGAGCCGGCCTTGTTGTGTACACTGTTGACCCTAGCAACCGGCCCAGCCGCCGAGTGGACGCCCACCCTCCCTGCGTGCCCGGCTGCTGCCCCTTGGTACGGCGCCTGTCTCCTCTGGCAGTGCGACAGGCCACTGGTGCTGCAGAGCAGGTCAGGGGTGTCTGCCATTGATCCTGGCAGAGTGGGATTGGCTGCTCCAGGGGGAAGAGGCTGGGTCCTAGCCCCGTTCCGAGGCAGCTGGGGCCGGTGAGGGAGCCCCAGCTCCTGTCTCGCAGCCACAAATCCCTGCACGACTGCTGGGTGGGGGGCTGTGCGGGGACGCAGGGAGCCCACATGAAGGCCCTTCACTGGGCCCATGGCCCAGCGAGGTGGCAGGATGGGCAGAAGGAGCCAGGGGCCTTGGGCAGGACCCCCAAGAACTCAGGCAGAGTCTGGCAGACCTGCTCACCATGTGTGTGCTGCCAGAGGGGTCGCACATCCTGCGCTTTGAAAGCCAGCGCTGCGCTTCTGACAAGGCCCCTCTGATCCAGGCCACTGGAAAGACAGTTTCTCCTGTGTCCGGGTGTCAATTCACAGCCTCTGGCCTGCGCCCCGGGAACACAGCCTTTGGCCGTGATAAGAAATGGCTCCCCGGGTGGGGATGAGGGGCCTCCTCCTCGGGCTGCAGTCTCCAGCTCTGCGGTCACTCTCATTCACAAACCGGCCGAGTCGGCCAGCAGGACCCCCCCAAGTTCATGCAGTCCTGGGGAGGGCTGGCCAGGGCACCTTGGGTTTCTGGTTCTGCCATTCATGGTAGAGAGACACCTGGCTGCTCTGAGAATCTGCGTGACAGCGTCCCCACCCTCTGAGTGACTGGAGCCACAGACCACACTGCTGGAGTCCTTTTGGGGCCCATGGGAGTGGTGCTCTGTGGGGTGTGCTGGAGAGGGCCCCCCCAGCCCCGCTGCAGCTGCCTGCTCCTCTCTTGTAGCTCCAGCTCCAGAAGTCTCAGTACCTGCAACTGGGCCCAAGCCGTGGCCAGTACTATGGTGGGTCCCTGCCCAACGTGAACCAGATTGGGAGCGGCACCATGGACCTGCCCTTCCAGGTGAGCCCCCTCCCCCTGCACTGCCTCCCACCTGGGGCGCTTTGCACTCCAGGCCCCGCCCTGGCCACAGACGGAGCATGTGTGTGATGGCCACCGCAGACAGCTGGGGTCATCACCCTGCCCCCGCCTACTCCTCTTCTGCCCCTGTGCTCGCCTGGAGCCCTCCGGCCCGGCCCCTGTCAGCACACCCTGAAGCGAGGCCGTGGTCTGGCGGTGAGCGTTTCGGCAGCCGCTACACCTGTTGGCCGGCTGTGCGGCAGCGGGAACCGCTCAGGGCCTCTGGGGCTTGGCTCCGTCCCGCCTCACTAATCCGCAAGCCCAGCAATTCTCAGAAGGAGGCCCCGTGGCCTGACCCCACTTGTCTGCAGACGTTTCTTGGCAGAGACACACATAGCGTGGCTCCTGCAGGCCGCGCGGCCGCCGCGCACATCCTTATCATAAATAATGAGAGATAAGGCCCACCGCCTGGGCACAGAGCCCCCCACTTCCCCCAGGCTGTGCCCTGGCCCTGGTCTGCAGGTGGAAACGAGGGTTAGGTGGCCCGAGGATCTGGGCTGAGAATGGGGCCCACCCCCAGCATGATGTCTGGGCTCTGCAGGGACAGGTCTGTGGCTGGGACGCAGCCCCGGTAACAGCCATGTCTGTCAACGTGCTGACAGGCCAGGTGGAGCAGGGTGGGTCCCCAGGGAGCTCAGTCCCCCACTTGCCCACGTGAGTCACTCCTCAGCTCCTACTCCTCCCATGCTGCCCCTGGGACACAGCACAGCACCACCTGGGGTCCCCCAGGGTGGCTTTGGGTCTGTCTGGTTCAGCTCTGCGTTCTGTGGGCCCTTCAGGATACAACCCTACCCTGACGACCTCCTCATCAGAGCAGACGCATGGGGCCCTGTGTGCTCTGGAGCCTCACCTCTCAGTCAAGGCCCTTCCTCATTTGGGTGCTCTCCCTCCTCCCTGTCTCTCGCCTTTCTCTGTTCCCCACATCCCCTCCTCCCTTGAGGAGAGCATCTCTCTGGGCACCCCTGAGCTTGGCCCTGCCTGGGGCTGGCGTAGAGCCCCCTCGGGCTGTGGGTGCACGGGGGGCTGGGCGAGGCAGGAGTGTCTGAAAGTCTCGGTTCTTTGCATTTTCAGCCCAGCGGATTTCTGGGGGAGGCCCTGGCAGCGGCTCCTGTCTCTCTGGTAAATGAGCCCCTGGGCTGAGGCTGTTGGTGTCCCCAGCGCGGACGCTGGTTATTCCTGCGTGGCCGCCCCCTGCCCCTCGTGGCCCAGCAGGAGGTGTCCTGTCCACTAAACGGAAATGGATCTGCTCTGCACCCCCTATCTGGGGCAGTGCTTGTGGTCATGTTGAGAGACCCCCACTTGGGGATCCGAGCATGCACGTCAATGCTGCATGGTTCGTTCCTGTGACACACGCACACACGCGTGTGCACAGATCCTAGATGCAGCCTCGTGAGCTGGGCTGTGGCCAGGCCTGAGCTTTTCTCTGTCTCTGGCTCTGCTTCAGCCACCTCAGTTTCCCCTCTGGCCTTCCAGGCATCTCTGGGAGGAGCGGAGTGGCCCTGCCCTTCGGTGTCCATGCCCGGATGGCGTGGTTCCCACCCTCCCTCAGTCATGGCCGTCTCCTGGCTCCCCAGCCTTTGGGAGGCGAAGGTGCAGAAAGACCCAAGCCGGAGGGTCCTCGCCAGGTCAGAGAGAGACAGGAATCCCGGATACTGGGGGAGCAGTCAGCCCTGAACGCTGGCCAGGGCATTCGGGCTGGTGGGGAAGAGCAGTGGTTCCAGCCAGGGGCAGTCTTCTGGAAGGAAATTGCTTTTTGCCTGGCTGCCCAGAGAGCCATTAGGGCCCAAGGGCCAGATGGCTGGGTAAGGGGACTGGCTGTGTCTAGAGCTGGCTAAGGCCGCCTGTCTTGTCCCAGTCAGATGGTGAGGGGCCCCATGGCACCAGGGTAGGCAGAGAGCAGGCTCCCGGGGGCCCTTGGGGCATGGAGCCGGGAGGGAGAGCAGGGCCCGGCCAGGGGCCTGGTGCCAGCCCCAGGTGCTGCAAGGAAGCCCCATCCGGACAAGCTGTGGGCCAGGGCTCCGGAAGGCGCCTGCACTTGGCTCCCCGTGGTGCCTTGTGTGGTGCCTGGATGAGGCAGTGGGGGAGGGTGCGTGGGCCTGGGTCTTCATCAAGACTGGCCCGGGCTCAAGGAGGAGCCTCTGGGGAGCCAGCACTTGGCCAGGTGGGCCCCTCGACATCCTCGGCTGGAAGCCCCAGGGCTGTCTCTTGGCAGGCCCCTCCAGGGATGACGTAGGTGGGGAGAAGAGGCCGGCCAGGCCCGGAGAGAGAAGGTGGAGGCCTGTCTGCACCTGGCGAGGCTGGGGGGCGCTCGGGCTGTCTGCACCCCTGGCACCCCAGCCGGCACCGGGCCCCGAGCTTGCGCCGCTCTGCCTGGCCCGTGCATGCCAGCCACACTGCACGCCTGCCGCCCTGGTGCCCAGGACCCCTGGCTCGCCCCCACCCCTGCAGTGCTCGGAGGCCGGGGGCTGGGGCTGCAGGAGGAAGCCCAGCTGGGCTGCGGAGTGGTGGCCGGAGGTGTCGTGGGAGGGGACCCTGAGGCCAGATGTCGAGGGCAGAGCTGGGGTTAGATCTCAGGCCATAGCTGATAACAGGTTTTTGGGTTTCTCTCTCCTTTTTCCCATCCCCTCCACTCCTCCCTCCCCTTGCTGGCCCCCTCCCCGCCCCCAGACACCCTTCCAGTCCTCAGGCCTGGACACCAGCCGGACCACCCGGCACCACGGTCTGGTAGACAGAGTGTATCGGGAGCGCGGCCGGCTCGGCTCCCCGCACCGCCGGCCCCTGTCGGTGGACAAACATGGACGGCAGATATCCTTCTCCTAAAGGACGTGTGCGGGTGAGGGGCCAGTCCCTGTTGGCGGCTGTGGGACCCCGAATTTGTCTAGCTGATAGAGCCGCCCTCTCCCAGCTTTGGGGATGGATCAGGGCCACCCCAGCCCTCCAGGGCTTCCAGCAGCACCAAGAGGGGCGCAATCACAGTGCAACCTGGGAGGACTTCGTGGAGGAGGCAGTGAGACTGGTTGAGGAGCCTTTGGCCAGGCTTGTAGGGTGGGGCAGGGCATAGGAAGCCGGGACACAGAGGTGGCTGCTGGAGCACACAGCCTGAGGTGGGAGTTGGGGAGGGTGGACCACACTGCACTTGGTTGTCCACCTGGGCAGTGGCCCAGGAGGGCTGTGAACGGAGCGCCTGCGTGTCCAGGATGAGTTGATGGACGGCATGGAGGGCAGCCCAGCCAAGGTAGTGGGGCTGAGGGGTCTGACCAGACCCAGACAGATCCTAGGGAGACTAGATCTCTGCAGGATACAGAACTCACCTCTGCATCTCAGCCGAGCAGAGAGATCTGTGGAGTCCCACCCCCACCCCCGACTTGGCCAGCCAGGCCCATCCCATCGCCAGAGTCTGAGCGACCACTCCTGGGACCCCTGCTCTTTTGAACAGAGAAGCCTGTTCTTTCCCGTTCTCATTTCCGTGGCTGGGGAAGCCCGACCAGCTGGGCCCCAGACCGAGTCCTCAGGCCCCGGGAGCCGTCCCATCGGCCCAGAGTTAAGAGTCACGACAGGGGTCAGCTGAACTAGACTCCCCGCTGCCCCCCGTGGGCCCCGGTTTCGTGGCCGAGGCCCCTCCTGGAAGGGGTGCAGCCCGCACGTGTGCTCGCAGCGGGTGAGTGCTGAGTGCTAGGTGGACGGGGCTGCTCCCTGGGGGCTGCTCCCAGCCAGGCAGGAAAGGCCCCCCGCCCCACAGCCCCAGCTGTTTGCAGGCTCCCAGCAGCCTGGCCGTGCAGGCTGGCCGACTGGGGGTTCCTGGGGCTCGGGGCAGGGCCTAAGCTGACAGCACTGTCCCCTTAACTCATGCTCACGTGGACAGCTGCCCGTACGGCACCGTGTACCTCTCACCGCCCACGGACACCAGCTGGAGAAGGTCAGTGACCCAGAGCCACCCCAGCCCTCTCATTGAAAACAAAACTAAACTTTCTTTGTGGTGGTGCTTGGAAAACCAATGCACAGTTGCTTATAAATGACCAAACTAAGAAGCATCCAGAAGTTTCTAGAAACCAGTTCTATCCCTGTAACAGCTTTGGGGTCTTCCAGGATTTTTTTCCTTTTTATTTATACTTTTTTTGGTAAACATAGCTGGGATTATATTGGATATTCAGTGTTGTAACTTGCTCTTTTTTCATTTAATGCTATATTGTGAGTGGTTTCCCACATTCCTAAGCGGCCATTGAAAGTGTGATTATAAAGATATTATACGTTTATTACTACAAGATGAGGAAAACACATAAATGTATCTGGAAGAGAGGAAAAAACACCCCTACTGCCATCATCTAGAAAGGTCTAAAATAACAATAATATAGTTAATGTAAATACCCATGGTAACACAGGCAGTGGTTGCACACCAGTGTGAATGCACGAATGCTACAGAAGTATATGCTCAAAAGTGGTTAAAATGGTAAACTTTATGTTACGTATATTTTACCACACACACAATATGTATGTAGGTGATTTCAGTAGACAAAGACCAAAAATGAGCAAGTTGTTAAAAAAAAATGCACACACACGCATAACGTAATACGTAATATAATATATAATTCAATAACAATTAAATAACCACCAAGCACATTTCGTATATCAGGCACCATATCAACCATCACGTACATTAACTGATAGAAGATGTGCAGAGCTTTGTGGAGTAAGTGGTGTCATCCTCCCCATTTTAGATATAAGGAAATTGAGCACAGAAGGGTCAGAACACTTGCTGAGGGTCACACAGCGGGTGGGGGAGGCCAGGACCCTGACTGGCTCCTCGCTGCTTGGCCAGCCCATCCTTTCTAACCTGCTGTTTTCTCCTTGAACCACGTTTCCTCCATTTCCCTCTCAGTGGCTGGGATGTTCCCATTGGGTGGATGCGGCTCTTACTCTCGTCCCCACATTGCCAGCTGTACAGCTGGACCTGCCCTTTGCATGTCTGTCCAGCTCCCTTGGGCAGCTGAGGGCTGTTCTGGGGACCCTCCCTCCAGGCATCTGCAGTTGTGGGCCATTTGGGTCACCCTGTCCCCAAGGCAGAAGTCAGAGCTCCTGGCAGCGTTTGGTTTGGCCACTCCCCTATGGGGCCTCCTCGGGGGGCTGCATTCCTTCTGGGGCCTCTTAGCCTAACGTCACTGCCTCCTCTTCCCTCCCGTCACACCTGGTTTGTAACTGAGCGCCCCGGAGGGAGACGTTGCCCGTTGGTGTTTGTCATCAGATGGGGAGCATGATTACGGTCTGGGGGCTCATACCCCCAAGGCCAGGCTGCTGTGGGACTGTTGGGCCCCTTTCCAGATGGTTTCGGGAGAAAGGCACTGTCCTTTCCCTAATGCCGAGAAGCCCGCAGAGGGGCTGGGGTGGGCGAGGGCTGGTTAGCACTGGAGGGATGTCTCTGCTGAAGCTTTTTGTTCTCACAGGGCTTTGCAGACAAAACCCACGGTCAGTCGTGGTTCTTTTGAGAATGTCTTTAGGGTTTTGCTCAGGTGCCGTAGTTCACAGACATGACTCACTGCTGTCAGCCTGTCCCATTGGGCATATCCTGGGTAGAGTGGGGCCAGAACTATCCCTTTTTCCCCTTTGGGGCCAGGCTCACTCTCTCTCTCCTCTCCCCAGGACCAATTCTGACTCTGCCTTGCACCAGAGCACAATGACGCCCAACCAGCCAGAGCCCTTCACGGGCGGGTCCCAGGACGCCCACCAGAAAAGAGGTAATGGCAGGGCACGTGGGCGTCTTTCTTTGGGTCAGACAAGCCCAGCGGGTGGCCTCTGAGCTCCCAGAGGAGGTTGCAAGCTCATGGGTGGACAGACCTGTGGAGGAAGACTCATTCGGGGCTGTGGGACGAGGGGAGGGGCTCAGGGAAACTTTCAGAGGTGGTGCTACTTGCCGTGGTGGCTGGCAGCACCCCACGCACACAGACACCCCTGGGGCGGCGGTGGCAGCAGCCCAACCCACACAACTGTGAGCAGACAGGGCAGGAGCACCCAGCCCCCGTGGTGGCACCCCGACACCAGCTCCATCAGCAGCAGGGGCTGCATACAAGTGCCAGGTCCCCAGGCCCCCACCAGTGACAGTTACACCTGTGAACCCAGCATCCCTGGCAGCAGTGCACCCAGCACCCCCAGACAACCCGGGAACAGTGCCAGCGGTGTGTGGGGCGCAGCGTCTGAGTCAGCGGAGGAACATGAGACCCAGACGAACAGTCACAGTCACCAAAGCCAGACTCAAATCAGAGAAGGTGCTCACCACCACAAAGCGTCTGGCAGAGGACGCCTTCAGCAAACTCCATGAAGAGCTACAGCGACACTGCAGAGCAGACGGGGAGTGACAGCTCTCCAGAAACCAGACCTCAAGTCACAGAAGTTTACGATCTGACTGACAAAGAATTCAAAACAGCTGTCATAAAGAAACTCAGCAAGTTACGGGAAAACTCAGACAGTTCACTGAGCTCAGGAATAAAATTAGTGAACAGAAGGAATACTTCACCAAAAAGATTAAAACTCTAAAAAAAAGCCAAACTGACATTCTGGTTATGAGAAACACAGTTAATGAGATAAGAAATAATGTAGAAAGTATAAAAGATAGAGTAGACCTTATGGAGGAGAGAACTAGTGAGCTCGAAGATAGAAACCTAGAAATGCTTCAGGTGGAGGAGGAGAGAGAACTAAGATTCAAAGAAAAGTGAAGAATTTCTTTGAGAAATAGCCGACTTAATTAGGAAAAGTAACATAAGGATTATAGGTATCCCAGAGGGAGAAGGGGGAAAGGAGCAGAGAGCTTATTCAAAGAAGTAGTAGCAGAAAACTTCCCTAACCTGGGGAAGGAGCCTGAATTACAAGTAAAATAAGATAATAGAACTACTAACTACGTCAGTGCAAAAAGAACTTCTCCAAGGCATATAATAGTAAAAACATCAAAGGTCAATCACCAAGAAAAAGTGTTAAGGGCAGCAAGGCAAAAGAGAATAATCTACAAAGGAACCGCCATCAGGCTTTCAGCAGATTTCTCAGCAAAAGCCTTACAGTTTAGGAAAGAGTGGAATGATATATTCAAAATACTGAAAGACAAAAACTATCAGCGAAGAATACTCTATCCAGCAAAATTATCCTTCAGAGATGGCACTACTTGAGTTGGGTTTTGACGAGTGCATTGGAATTTTCTAGGCAGAGAAAACAGCCGCTGCAAACTCACGTTGGCTTCCGTTTATGAATTTGGGGCGTGACCACGCAGTCTGGTTGCCTTGCAGATTCTTTCAAATGTAGGGGGCAGCATGCTTTCCTTAACTCTTACCCAGAGCCTCTTCTCCAGCTGGGCCATGCACACAGCCTTGAAGCTGGGCCACATCTCTGCCCAGGCCCCTGGTCCCTCCTTGGAGCCAGGTGTAGATGCAGTGTTCCCAGGACCTTTGAGCAGGGTATATGCCATCTTAAAAGCTGGGGCAGCGACACCCAGAGAGAGGAGTGCAATGCTGTGAGGCCAGCCCCAGCAAACCCCACACAGGCCTGATCTGCCCCGAGACACTGAAACCAGAGAGTTAGTCACATACACTGACCCAAATGCTTCCTGCTTTTTTGGTAGCATTTCACTCTGTGAGTAGCTAAACATATCAGAGGGGTTCTGCTGATTGAAGGACTGTCAACCACAACTTCACCTCTTGGGGGCGGGTGGCGTCTGCACGCAGTATTCCTGGGATCCCAGCTCATCAGGGAGCAAAGGCAGGATTGCAGAAAGCAGCATCTCCGTAATAAAAGCAAAGATTCCAAGGGGTGACAAGAAGGGATACAGCGCCTGTCGGTTCCCTCCTGTCCCTGATGCTGGGGACAGTTCTGAGGGCACCGTCTCCCTGGCAGGCTCTTCAGGAACATGGGACTTTCAGAGTAGGTGGGTGTGCAGGCATCCCCATCCCTGGGACACTGCGTGACTGTGCAGGGAGCTGCAACTCAGGACCCCTGGCAGCTCAGAGTCCAGTTGCTGAAGGAGGAGGGGAGACATATCACCTGTCCCTCTTCCTCTTGGAGGGGCCCAGCTGGTGACGGGGTTAGGGTTAGCCTGGCTGCCTTCCCACCCCTCAGCCTAGGTTTCAATAAGGAACAATGGACCCTGCTGGCTATGTTTATTATGACTCTGTTGCAAGGGGAAAATTGAACCTCCAGCAGGCATGAAGAAATCGGGTCACATAAGGAAGATGTTTAATCTCACCTCAACCAAAAGATCCAAGGAAAGGGGCCTTCAGGCATGGCTGGTTCCAGGGCCTCAAAGGATGCCTGTCTAGTCCCTCAGACCTTCCCTCCCCTGGGGCTGGTTGGCATTGCCTGTGCTTGGTGCTACAGCTTAAGGGGCTTGGGCCCCTATGCTTGGTACTGACAGCCTAAGATGCGAAGGCAGGAATCGACCAGGGAGCAGGTGGGCACGTGGGCCAGCACAGCCACTCACAGGAGGCAGGGGCAGGTTCTTGGCTGTTCTTGAAAGTTGCTTTTTTGTTTTTTGGGGTTTTTTAAACTAAATCCTTTTTTGTACTTTAGTTGTATCTGCAGAACTTTCTGTGGGGCAGTTTCACTCCCATAGTGGTCCTGATGTCAGGGAAGTGCCTTCCTGGTGCCACCACGTGGCTGCCCAGAGATTTCTCTCTTGACTCCCCTTCTCCCCCACAGTCTTACTATTAACAGTCCCAGGCATGGAGGAGGCCACGTCGGAGACAGACAAGAACCTTTCCAAACAAGCGTGGGACACCAAGAAGGTAAGGGCCCAGGGGCTTTCGAAGCAGCTTTCCTTCCTGTTCTCTTTAAATGTAGCCCCGGCAAAGAGGGCGAAGCAGCAGTGGGGGCCTGTGCTGTCCCTGGAGTTGGACCCTCACTCAGAGTCGGCAGGCGTAGGGGCAGGCCTGTCACCCTGGCAGAAACTGGAGAACTCAAGCCTGTGCCCGCCCGGCAGTGCTCACACAACAGTTGGACACTACGGGGCACACAGCCCCGTGCAGGATGACGTGCACATGCACAGCCTGTTTCATGCTCGTTCGTTTGTTTGTTTTTGCTGAGGAAGATTGTTGCTGAGCTAACATCTGTGCCAGTCTTTCTCTATTTTGTATGTGGGACGCCGCCACAGCATGGCTGCCAAGTGGTGTCGGTCTGCACCCAGAAACCGAACCCAGGCCGCCAAAGTGGAGCTTGCCGAACTTAACCACTAGGCCACAGGGCCAGCCCACACTCCGTTGTTATATATGGTGATGGGTGTTGACTTGACCTACTGTGGTGATCATTTTGCAGTATATACAAGTATGGAATCATTATGTTGTACACCTGAAACTAATGTTATGTGTCAGTTATACCTCAATTAATAGTAAACCAGTTGAAGCCAGGGAGGTAGGTGATCTGCCCAGGGCTGTGAAGACGCTCAGGGTGTACAACCTGCGCCTCCCGATTCGGAGCCTGTGATCTTTCTGCTAACCCACAGGCTTGGGTAATTATCATTGTTTCATTGTTTATAATTGTTCACAGTCATCCTCAAACATAAACTTCCATTCATTTGCACAATAACCACAGCTTTTACTAGAGTACAGAGTCTACTTGGAAGTCCCAACTGGAGTGAGATTTCTGTATTATTTCTAGGTCTAGAAACAAATTTCTCAAGTTCAGCCTATAGAAATGTGTGGTGATTGGAGAGAATTTGTGCCATGAATACAGATTTCAAATAATTTGAATAGAACAGTATACACAGCACTAAAGGTATCTTAAATGTTTAAAAAAAATAAAAAAAAGAAAACCCATTGCTGGTCACCTTATGGTGAAAGAAGCAACCATAGGAATCCCTCACCCCCCAGAATCGTAAGGAGATGCTGGATGCGCAGATAGCAGTGTGTTCCTCAGAGGCGTGTGTTCAGAAATCAACTGGAAACCACCTGAGTGTTCAACAGTAGGGGATTTATAAGGAAATTATGCTCAGTCCCTTGTGTGGAAAGCTCCACGTGTGTCGGGTAGGGGTTTTTGGAGATGTGGTGAAGGCATGAGAGGCACTCGTGAGAATGCTGCTGTGTGGACAGAGCGGGCTCAAGCTGCTTAGAAGGTCACGAACACAGCCGCACAGATGCCTGCGTGTGCAGAACCAGGCCGATGGGAGACGCAACTGGGGCGCCTCCTCTCTTGTGGGCACGGGAGCCACTGTCTGCCCTGTATTCCTGCCTACGTGTTCCAGTTTTGCACAAGGAACACATGTGATTTTTATAATCAGGGGGAAAAACTTAGAGTTCTAAAGCCAAACAAAATCAGAACACGACAGAAGCGTCTAGGTGCAGAGAGGTGGGTGAGTAAAGACGTCAGGGTCCTTAAGCAGATTGTGGTGCTGCCATAAAGAAGGCAGCCGTAGAGAGGGTCATGACAGGGAGGAGAACCCCCCACAACATTGTGGGAGTGGGAAGCAGTGGGCGGGGCCCAGCATCGTGAGGAAACTCCTCTTAAAACGTCCCTGGAACAAGGCGTCTGTGAGGGTGTCAGTAAAGGAGTTCCGTTGGATTCATTTGGGGCACGGTGGGGGCAATGGGTGAATTTTTAATACTACTTAGAAATCCATTAGTTTCTCCATAATGTTCATGTAATGCTTTTGAAAAGATTCTTTAGAAAGTCATTGTCCAAGTGCTTTGCGAAAATCCAACAATGAAGCGAATGTTTACCCACAGAATTAAGAAGCCGAGGCCAAGCAGAAACCTGCTCACTGGCTTTCCCTGCAGAGGCTTAGTGCCTGCTGGTCGCACGCCACCCCTTGGGCGTCCCCCCATCGATGAGTGTGTGTCGAGGCTGGTGATAATCCCTAAAGAACACATGGACCCCAGGGCTGGGGAGGCAGACGGGGAGTTAGGGAATGTGACACAGAGGAGCCCTCCATCTTCACACAGGCCTCTGTCGCGTCACGTCTGCCGCCATGGGAAGAGAGTTCCCTCCTTTGTCCTTGAACGAGAGACCTTGAACCTGCTGTCCTTGGGTGGCGATAGTGTCCCCTACTTGCAAAAGAGGAAGTCAGGGTCTCACTGCCAGCAGTTTCCTTGGGACCCCTCCCTGGGGCCAGCCCACAGGGCAGCCGGGGTCTTGGTCCTCAGGGAGTGGGAAGTGGGAGCATGCCCAGTGTCAGGGCCCCACTGGCAGGCAGCTGTTTACGGCATCTGGTCCAGGCCTCTTCCGGCTTCCACGTACAATGTCCGTCTGTGCGGAGGACAAATGGACGCTGAGCAGAGGTAGCCCCTGCCCCAGGAGCCCCTCCCGCCCCGATCCAGGAATGGAAGGAGGGGTCAGCCTCAGGGCGCCCAGGTTTCTAGTGGCCCCACTGCTGAGTTGGGGTTTCAGGCATAAGGAGTGGGCAAGCAAACTTCTTCCCTGAAGGCCTGCTCTGACAAGGGGCCGCATCATCCCTCGGCTGTGCCCACCTTACCAAGCGGACAGAGTGAAGCCAGGAGAGCTTCGTGGGAGACCCTCTCCTCACAATGCTTAGTCTTACCCCCTGGGCATGTCTGGGGCAGGCCCCCATCCCTTGGGGCCGCCTGCTCTTTGTGGGCCTCTCGCTTCTTGTTGAGCGTTCCTGGGGAGATCCACCGGGCTGCGAGGAGCCACAGTGTGCGCAAGGAGGCAGCTCAGCCTCTGCTGTCTTCTCTTTCAGACGGGGTCCAGGCCCAAGTCCTGCGAGGTCCCTGGAATCAAGTAAGTCTCTGCAGGGCCCACCCTGCATGCCCAAGGCCACCAGGGGCTGCTCGGATGACCCCAGGGCTTCCTGGATGACCCCAGGGCTTCTCATTAGTTCAGGAGGCTGCAAGTCCTGACAAGAGGGGCCCCAGCTGCCACCCCTTCCTGCCGGAGATGAGAGCCCCACCTCAGCACTGGCACACTCAGCCCTCAGACACACGCTGTCCCTCGCCCATCCCCACCCCGCCCTGCAGGGATAGGCTGCTTGCTCAGGCCCCACTGGAGGTGTGGGCTGACAGTCGTTTTCCCAGCAGGGCAGCCCCTAATCCCAGGGTGTCATTTTGCACCTGCTGTTGTTTTGCGCCAGCCCCTTCCTACCCCTGCAGCAATTTCTGGGACTGCCATCCGGAGACCTCACCTCCCCACTCTGGCCTTTCCCCAGCATCTTTCCATCCGCCGACCAGGAGAACACTACAGCCCTGATCCCTGCCACCCACAACACGGGGGGCTCCCTGCCCGACCTGACCAACATCCACTTCCCCTCCCCGCTTCCGACCCCGTTGGACCCCGAGGAGCCCACCTTCCCTGCGCTCAGCAGCTCCAGCAGCACTGGCAACCTTGCAGCCAACCTGACACACCTGGGCCTCGGCGCCACCGGCCAGGGTAAGGCCAGCCAGGTGATTGGGCGCTGCCTTCCCTGGCAGAGCTCATCGTCCAGTGAGGACGACATGTGTGTTTGAACGATGACTTAGGGTGACATCCAAAATGCTGGGCATGGGGTGGGGGCAGAGCCCACCACAGGGGCCTGGCGTCACCCAGCATTGCCCAGGAAAGGCACTTGGGCAGAGGGCACAGCATAGGCAAAGGCCCAGGGATGGGAGAGTTCATGGTACCCCCAGGGATTGGACAATTCTTCTGAGGAGCTGCTGGGGTCTTCAGAGAGGTTGATTGAGCCCAGAATATTCTAGGAGGGGAGCCCCCAAGGTTTGACCCAGCTGGGTGGGCCAGGCTTTCTCCCTGCCCCTCATTATCCCTGCCTGTCTCCGAGGGATAGGACCTGACCTGCTGCCCCCACATCTCTTCCCAACCCCCAGCTGACCCTGGCTGCCTGCTTGGGACACTCCAGCCTGGCCCCCTCCCCGAGCTCCATGTCCATTTGTGCCTGGGCCGTGTCCAGGGGGCCATCTTACGAGCCCCTCACGCATCCCGCTCTCTCCCCATGCTGCCCCAGCCCTGCTCCTCCCAGGAACCAGTGGTGCCGTAGCAGGTGGCTCAGGCCAGGGACCCTGGAGGTGTCCTCCTCAACTCCTGTCCTGCTGCCTGCCCTGACCTGTTGGCTTGTCCTGTCGGCCCCACCGTCAGGACCTGGCCCAGCTTGGACTCTCCCCACCCTGCCTGGCCTCCACTTGCCTGGCCCCCAGCCTCCAGCCCCTAGTCTCTTCTCCCTGAATGGCTGTCGGCTCATGGCTCTCCTCTGCTTGGACCCTTGCATGGATCCTCAGCTCCCTCCCAGTGAAAACCTGAGACCCCCAGGGCCTGGGATGTCCACTAGTGTCCAGGGCCCCTCCCCTGCCCCATCCCTTACTCACACCTCCTCCCCTCCGCAGGATGTCCCACTGCTCGCCTGTGCCCACAGCCCCTCACACTGCGTTCCTCTTCTGCCCTCACTCTGCTGCTGTGGAGTCACTGCTTTGCTCTCACGTGCTTCCTGGGCTGGGCGTCGCTCACCCACGTCCCTGCTGTGACCTGTCTCTCCGCCCTGACCCCCACACCCACATTGACTGTAGGATGTGTGGGTGCATCCAGAGAGGAGACAGGATGGCCCAACAGCCCCTTGGGGACAGGCAAGAGGGGCCGTGGGGGACCCTCTGTGCGGTCAGTGAGAGCACTGCACTGTGCCCTCCGGCCTGCCCAGGAGCCACAGAAGAGGCTGGCGCTCACGCTGCCCCCTGCGTCTCAGGCCTCTGTGTGGTGGGCAGCATCATGCAGGGTTTTCTGAGAGACTCATGCTAAGATTCATGTTTGTCCCAATCCCTGTGGCCGCCCAGCAAGAACAGACTGTCAGGAGAGAGCGGCAGCACCTGAACCTGGGCCCTGTTGGTCACTTTGCAGAGAGATTTCAGGGTGAAATTGGCTGGCCTGGGAGCCAGGTGGGTACAAGAAGTGGAGGAGAACAAGGAGCCTGGAGTCATTCCTGGCTTTGGGCCGACAGGCCAGGGACAGGTGAGGGATGTTAAGGACCGTGTGAATGTTCCTAGGTTTTTAGATGCCAGGATGAAGGCCAAAGCAGGACCCTGGCCTGACAGCGTTGAGGCTGTGTTTGTTCTTCTTCTTCTTCTTCTTTTTTTTTTTTCGGTGAGGAAGATTGGCCCTGAGCTAACATCTGTGCCAATCTTCCTCTATTTTGTATTTGGGATGCTGCCACAGCATGGCTTGAAGAGTGGTGTAGGTCTGCGCCTGGGATCTGCACCAGCAAACCTGGGCCGCCCAAGCGGAACATGTTGGACTTAACCACTACACACATGGGGGCAGCCCCACAGGCTATGTTCTTTCTTCCACGTGCCTGGCCCCATGCCCCTTGAGGCTCAGCCACCTGGACGAGGGTACCAGCCCTGGCCGTGCCTCCCCCCCCAGGGAAAGCCCCGAAGAGAAAATGAGCAGTTTCAGGGGAGCCTGAGACACATGGCCGCTGAGAGATGGGTGGGCGGGCAGCATCCACACAGGCCTGTGCAAAGCAAGAAATCAGAAGGTCTGCTCTGGGGCCACTGGGGCCCCTCGTGCAGGCACGGCTGTTCTGCAGCCCCTGTTTTTCTCCTCACATCTCCCTACGGCCTCCAGAGCACCACCCCCTCTACCAGAACGTCCTTGGCAGCGCCCCAGCGCCCGCCTGGGAGCTGCGCACCTCCAGTCCCGCCGAGTCTAAACAGGCACAGGAAAATGCAGCACATGTGAAAGCCATAGACGCGGACGAGTGCAGGCCCGAGCGTGGGGCCCAGACCCCGGCCCGCCTGGCTCGAGTGCTGGCCCCGTAATGTCTGACATGTGTTCAGTTGTTTGCAAACCTGCCGCTCCAGCAGCTCGCCTGGCAGGGGCTTTGCTTTCTGGGCGCATTTTAAATCAAGCCGAGCCGCTGGCCCTGGCATACGTGGAGATCCCCCCAGCTCCCAGCCCACCCGCCAGTTGGAACGTGAGCCCTGCGAGGAGGCAGAGGGAGGCCTCCACCGCCAGGGAGACAGCGGCCCCTCTCGTCTCCTTCCACATGTGCTACAGTCGTTTCCCTGGCTGCTCACAGGAACCGGGGGAGGGCAGGCCTGGGTCCACCTTCATGGCACAGCCCTGGGGCAGCCGGCCCCGCACACAAGGCTTGCATGCTGTGGGCCAGGCCGCTGCCACCTGGCCTGCCCTCCCCTGGCAGCTCTCCCTGCCCACCCCAGACCTCCCTTCCTGCTGGCCCACTCCTTTTCCCAAAGGCAGTGCAGGTTGCCAAAAGGAATTCAGCAGCAGGCCATCAGTCCACGCACCCCCGGCCCAACTGGCCTCTCAGGGGGCGGTGGCCTCCCCGTGTGAGGCCGGGAGCTCACTCTGTAGCCCAGCAGAGGATTAAACACTCCCTTGTATCCTCTGCAGACATTAGAGGTGGGCAACCCAAGGGCCAAGTCTAGCCCACTGGTGTGTTTTGTCCGGCCCACAATTGTGTGTGACGCTCTGAGTCAACATTTAAAGTCGGGAGAGCGCATGTAAAATCTGGGTTTCTTCCTTCTCTTGAAGCATCACAAGGCCCAGTAGCAGTGGGTCGAGGTCCTATGTCTGACCGTCCAGAGCGCTAGTTTGCTGCAGGCCCAACCTGCCCGTCACCCCACTGTCCCTGTCACTCCTGGTATTTGCCTCTGCCACTTAGCCAACCCTCTCGTTGCTCCCTGGGTGTCAAGCGTTCCTCGGCCCATTGGGCACGTGAGGCAGTGGATAGAGAAGATGGCGGAGCAGCCCAGGGTCCTGACTCCAAGTGCTCTCTGATTAGGTATCTCCCAGACCCCTCTTGCTCGGGGCTCTGTGGGTGCCTTCCTTGATGTTGCCGTGTACACAGCAGCCTGATTCTAGGGCCCAAAGTCTTTGCAGAAGCTGAACCCAGGGGCTCTTCCTGGGGAGCAGTCCGTGGTGCCAGGTGCCCCTGCAGCACTTGGCAGAGCGGATCCGCGAGGGTGTCCAAGGGGAAATGTAGACGTGACCAGGCTCGCCTTGCATGGATGACACAGCCCCAGCGAGCAGCTGCCCTGGGTGGAGAGAAGGCTGCCCATCATGTCTCCTTGGTGTGTGCTGGGTGTGTTCCCACTGGCCCGTGAACCTGCTGTGTCACCCATTGGAACGAGGTTGAGCTGGTGCCCTCAGCAGGATGGGCTTGGCTCCCCTCAGTGAGTCAGGCACCTTCAGCCATCCTTGCCTGAGGGCCAGACTCTCTTCAGAGCCTGTTCATGACCTCTTTGGGGCCTCACTGTGAGCTCATGAGGGCGGCTCTTATCTCTGTCTCAAGGGCGAGGAACCGAGTCTGATGATCAGGCCAGGCCAGGCCCCTGGGGCTCCCTCGGCGTTGGGGGCTTGTTGCCTCCCCGGCTCGGTGCCCTAGGATAACTTGGCAAGCCCCAACTGTTGCCACACTGGACTTGACCTCACTCAGCTCCTTTACAACAGATGTATCCAGGGGTTGGATTGCCGGGGGAGGCGGCAGGGGTGAGGGAATGGGCTATGTGGAGCCCCCAGTGGGAACTCCACCAGGAACGAGTGTGTTGGGAGAAAATAAAGAGTAACTGAGTTTCTAGCTTGGGCAGGCTGGTAGGGGTGGTGCATCAGCATGGGGAGTACATGAGGCGGGGGGAGAAGGATGTGGCTGTGAGGTGTTGGCAGAGGGGTCACCAGATACATGGGTCCAGGGGCTGAGAGGAAGTCTGGCTGAAGGAGCAGGCACAGGAAGCAGCGTGTTCGTTGAAAGAGGGTGAGGAAAGCCGTGAGGTTCTTGAAGCTAACCAAAACCCAAGCCAGTTTAGGCAAAAATGGGATTCGTTGTCTCTCGAAACCAGGAAGTGCCAGTGTGGCTGGATTCAGGGCTCAGGTGCTGCCTCTTCTCCTTGGCTCTTGATTCTCTAGCCCACCTTTCCCCTTGTAGCCACAGGATGCACCACACACAGCTCCAGACCCCCTTTCTTGGAGTCCCATCAAAAGTCCCAGGGTAGGGGGCCAGCCCAGTGGCACAGTGGTTAAGTTTGCACGTTCTCCTTTGGCGGCCCGGGGTTCGCCGGTTCAGATCCCAGGTGCGGACATGACACTGCTTGGCACACCATGCTGTGCTAGGCGTCCCACATATAAAGTGGAGGAAGATGGGCATGGATGTTAGCTCAGGGCCAAGTCTTCCTCAGCAAAAAGAGGAGGATTGGCAGCAGATGTTAGCTCAGGGCTAATCTTCCTCAAGAAAAAAAAGAGTCCCAGGGTAGCCTCTCATTGGGCCGGCCTGGTCATGTGTCCATCTCGGGGCCAATCAAACGGTAGTCAAGAGGCAGGGAAGTGCTGATGGGCAGGGTCTGCAGGACACCCCCCTCCTGGAGGGATGGCAGGGTCAGCTGGGAGCACGTTGGTCAGCACAGGAGGCGGGAAGAACAGAGCCCACGCAGAGCTGGGGACCCTGAGGTTGGTGTATTGGGGCCTTGGAGGGGACACACTGGGTTTGGTGATCTGGACATGTCTTCTGGCTTCTGTCTGAGTGCTTGGGTTGTCCCCAGCAGTGACTGTGGGTGTGTGGATGGCCCTCGAAAGGCTGAAGTCACGCCCAGCCCCCCTCTCTCCCTGCTTCCCTTTCAGGGATGAGCACGCCAGGCTCGTCGCCTCAGCACCGCCCGGCCGGCGTCAGCCCCCTGTCCCTGAGCACGGAGGCGAGGCGGCAGCAGGCCCAGCAGGTGTCGCCCACCCTATCCCCGCTGTCACCCATCACTCAGGTGCGAGGGCATGGTGGGGTTGGGGAGACGGGGCCGGTCTGCTCTGCTCCCACTCCTTTCAGAGGCTACAGAGTCCTGAAAACGTTCCCAGCATCTTGGCTTTTTGTCAGATTTTCAAATGCACAGGAAATGCGTGGAGTCCCCTGTGCCCATCGCGGCTGTTAGATTTGACAGCTGCTGGCTCATGCCCGTGTGCCTGGACACTTCGTTGTGTTGCTTTCTATTCCTTCAGATCTAGTTGAAGTTTTGCAGGATAAAATGTTTAGAGGGGTGTTTTTGGTTCAGTTTACCATAATTTTGCTTTGTCTACGTTTCTGTGAGTTTGCCTGTGTCTGGGAATTGGTCTGTGGCGTCCAGGTTATCCAGGGGCTGACGTACGGTCGGTCATGAGCCTCTCTGATAATCCTTTTTAGTTGTGTAAAGTCGATAGTGAGGTTCCCACTTTCGTTTCTGATTTCGGTAATTTGAGTCTTCTCTTTTTCCCTTAGTCAGTCTAGGCTCGTAGAACAAGTTAGGAAGTGTTCTCTCCTCTTGTGTTTTTGGAAGAGCTTGAGAAGTGTTGGTGTTGATTCTTTAAAAGTTTGGTAGAATTCACCAGGAAGCCACCGTGGTCTTGGCTGGTCTCCGTTGGGAGGTTTTTTGATTACTAATTCAGTCTCCTTTCTTGATATGCGTCTGCTCAGATGTTGTGTTTCTTCTTGTGTTAGTTTTGGTAGTTATGTGTTTCTAGGAATTTGTCCGTCTCGTATGTTTTTTAGAAATCACTGACAGATAACGTTTATGTTGTTGTTTGCTTTGTAACATAGCTTCGATGGCATGATCCCCCTACTGCAAAGTTAACAGGACTCTTTCATACCTCCTGGTGCGCGGCCTGGGCTCTCTTCTCTTCGTGTCTCTGTCTGCTCATATGGCTCTTGTTCCCGTCAGGGTCCAGGCAGAGCCCTGGGTGGCTCCTGGCCATTTGTCTTCAGTCTCTCCATCTGTGACCCCTGCCCCTTCTCCCCCTCCTTTAGGACTGCTTTCCCTTTCTGGAAACTCCTTTTTGGTCATGAACCCCCTGCTGATTAGAGGCCAGGCATTCTGCTAAGTTTGATGCCCTGTAGCTCCTGGGCACGTCCAGCCTCCCTCCAAGGCCAGGAGCCCCTGCCTTCCCCAGGGACTGTCTGCACAGACTCATGGACGTTGAAAACATCCCTCTGGTTATTTTCCAACTTAGAAGGCCCGAGCTGATTATAGCCAAGTGACCACGCCAGGGCCTCCATCACCCGTGCCCTCCCCAGCCTCCCCAGGTGGGCCAGGCTGCGGGCTTGGGGTGGGGGTTCCTTCCCACAAGGACCCCAGGGAGGCTCAGTGCTGCTGCCCACTGTTTGCTGGAGTGTGGCACCTGTGCCTAACCCACAGCAGGGAAACTCCAGCTCAGGGAGGCCAGGGACCTCCTGAGTCTCAGCAAGGATGGAGGGTGGCCCCCTCTCGGAGTAAGGTGAGGGTGAAAGAAGGGCTTGTTGGGTACAGGGTGTAGCCAGCTGGATAGACCCCCAGGACCATCACCTGCAGCCTAGACCTCCTTGGCCAGGGGCCAGGCCCATCATCTGGGCCTGTGCTTCTATGGTCCAGGATCTGTGCGTCCCTTTGTTGGTCCATCATATCGTTGCTGAGCGTGGGGGGCCTCCAGGGACCAGCTGCTGGCAACCATGCCTCCTGTTTCTCCCACCGATGCCCCGCTCTCTTCCTAGGCCGTGGCCATGGATGCCCTGTCTCTGGAGCAGCAGCTGCCCTATGCCTTCTTCACCCAGGCTGGCTCCCAGCCGCCACCACCACAGCCGCAGCCCCCGCCACCGCCGCCGCCCACGGCCCAGCAGCAGCCGCCCCCGCCACCCCCACAGGTGCCCATCGGCCTTCCCCCAGGAGGCCCCCTGATGCCAAGCGCCAGCTTGACTCGGGGGCCCCAGCTGCCCCCACTCACGGTCACAGTACCGTCCTCTCTCCCCCAGTCCCCCTCAGAGAACCCGGGCCAGCCGCCGATGGGGATCGACATTGCCTCGGTAAGCCCAAGATGGGGTCCTCTGGGGTCTAGCTGCGGGGGCTTGTGCAGGAGGACCCTAGGGTCTCTGGGAGGCCCCCATCAGACCCCAAGGCCCAAGGATGGTCAGGCGCCCAGCTGTGTCTGCAGCTGCCTCAAGGCTCTACTTCAAGGCCAACTTGGCCAGGGGTTGGGGCTGAAGCAAACGTTGCCTGGGCTGGGCACTCAATGGGGGTTTTCTGCCTGGAATCCTCAAGTCAAGGTTGATGCCCCATTTATAGATGGGGAAACAGAGGCACAAGCAGGGGTCAGTTGCCCCAAACTTCACCCAAGATGAGCAACCCTGTGTCTGGCTGCCAAGCCCTCCCCCTGGCCCTTGATGCCCCCACCTCAGCCATTCCCACCCAAAAAGGGCTTTCTTGGAGGCAGGGAGAGCTCAGAGCTCTCAGGACCTGGGGAACGGACCTCTGGGAACCAGAGGGACCAAGATAAGCTTGGAGAGGAAGAGGGATGAAGCCAGCCCTGTGGTTCATGCAGCACTGCCCTGGGCTGGGGGGCGGCAGCTCAGATCATGGAACCCCCTCCCTGGGGCTGGGCTCATGGAGACGAGTGCTAGGTTTTGACCTCTGCACTCCCAAGCCTTCCTGAGAGTTCAGACTTTTGCCTGGTTGGTGTGGCAGGAAGGGGGTGGTCACGGCTCCCTTTGGCCATATCCAGAGGAACAGGATCCATGTTTGGGGCACAGTGATCCTTCCCCACTCGGCCCTTGGCTGCCAGCCCCAGGATAAATGTCATCAGACCATCATGTGCTTTGCAAAGAACAGGCCCCCCTGAGGTGGGCCGGGCAGGCAGGTGACCTAACAGGTAGAGACCCAAGTTTCCAAGCGGCTCTGATCCCTCAGAGGGCAGACCTCAGGGTCCCCTAGATGAGAAAGCAGCCAAGCCTTTCCTTGGGCTGAAATACCGCAGGTGTGGGGGTGGCTCTGACAGCAGGGCCTCGCTTTGGACTAGGCGGCCGGCGGAGGCATCGTGTCTGGGCCGGGCGCACAGATGCTCCTCCCCGGGTTCTCGGGTTAGGGCCTCTTTGTCCTAGTACCAGCCCAGGGGCTGCTGGTTCCCTCGGGTGCAGGCTCCAGTGGCCTCCTCCATGAGTTTCTGCAGACTCACCCTAGCAAGGAGAACATCCTTCTGGAGGTTTTCCTCTTTCCAACTTAGAAGACCCGAGCTGGTCATTGCCAAGTGACCACGCTGGCACCTCTGATACCCACACGCTGCTCATGAAGCCCCCAGGCGCCACCTGTGCTCAACCCCCATCCCAAACTGCTCAGAACAGACCACTGAGGACATGGGGGAGACTGAGCACTGATGGGGTTCTGGGAAGCTGTCCGGGCCTCAATGAACAACAGGCTCAGAGAGGTCAGGCAACTTGCCTGGAGACACATAGCAGGTCCTGGCCAGGCTGGGACTGGAGCAGAGTCTAAATCCAGGTCCTGGCCCAGCCTGTCATGCCCCCAAGGGACCTGTTGAGAAGCCAAGGCTCTCTGTCCTTTGAGCAAGGAGGAGGCTGCCTCTGGGACATCTCTGGACAGCATTACCCCATCAAGGCTTGTTCCAGGTGGTGCCAGTGATCATGGCTGCCTGGTGCTGGAGCCCTGTGCCATGCCCCAGACGGCCTCTGCTGTCAGTCCCGCCACCCCTCGAGGTGGGAGGGATGTGCCAGTGCACACATGGGCTCAAAGAGCTGAGAACCCACCCAGAGCTGAGAGCAGAAGGCAGCGAGCACCTGCCTGTCCAGCCCTGGCCCTTCCCTGCCCACGTGTGCGTGGCTGTGCATGTGTACGTGTGTGCAGCTGTGTGCACATGTATGTGGGTGCTCTGAACTCTACAGAGTCAAGGCCGACCCTTCGGTCACCTCCCCACAACCCTCCAGGGCGATTGCGTGAGGCTGGGCTCCAGCTTCTCAGACCACAGCCTCCATCCCCGGGAGCTGGGTTTGCAGGCAGGTGGCACCAGGCCTGGGGCCCAGGCGGGGCTTGGGACCCAACCTCCTGCAGGTGCCCTGGTGCTCTGCCTACCTGAGGGGGCCCCTCTGGGGGGCTCGGCGGGGAACAGCTAGGCCTGGGGCCCCTGGTGCCCTGACCTGTCTGTCGTCGCAGGCGCCCGCTCGGCAGCAGTACCGCACTAGTGCCGGCTCCCCGGCCAACCAGTCTCCCACCTCGCCCGTCTCCAATCAAGGCTTCTCCCCCGGGAGCTCCCCGCAAGTAAGGGACGCCGCCCCCCACCGCCACCCGCGCCCCAGCCTCGCTTTGCCCCCTGTGTGCCCCCCGCCTACCTGCCATCTGTGCCTCACACCTCACTCCATCCCATCTTGTCCACCCCACTGGTGCTGGGAGGAGAAGGCACTGCCCCCACAGGCCCTCTCCAGGCACTGCCTGGTTCCCACTGCGCCTCTGTGGTCTGCCGAGCCCCCGCAGGAGGTGGCAAGCTCCTCACTCACATTAGCGACCTTGCAGTCAGCCACGTCCCGGCTCCTCACCCAGTGGCCCAGGACACCCCTGTGTGCAACTCAGAGCACGCGCCAAGCAGCCTGCGGCATGTCCGCACTTATGTCTGCCTGCCCTAAGGCCTGGCCCTTTGAGGCTCCCAGAAGTGGGGTGCCCTCCCTGCTTGGGGGCACAGCTGAGGTGGCAACTGGCCCGTATTGGGGGCTACAACTCCTCACTCCCCTCACCCCCGCCCTGTAGGAAGGCATGTCCTCCCCAGGAAGCTTCTCTTAGTAGCACTGTAGCCTCTCAGGGGTCATTGTCCCCATGCCACAGGTGGGGAGACTGAGGCTGGCCCCAGGCAACAGGCAGAGCTTGACCATGTCCATGAGACTTGGGTTTTCCCCCACACCTGACACGATGGGACCCTGATGCCTGACACACACATGCACACACCCTGTCCAGGTTCCTCAGAATTCCCCTCAGCCCAGTTTGGCCCATGGCCACATTCCATCCAGAACATTCCGTAAGAGTTGAGGGGGTACCCGCAAAGTTGATATTCGGGCCCCAAACCTCACTCTAGCAGCAGATCCTCCCTGGGACCCTGCCACTCTGTCCCAACATGTCACCAGCTGAGAAAGTCTAAGGAGACAATGCAGTACCCCAGGCCCTAAGCCTCGTTCTCTGCTGAGGAGACGATAGGATTTTCCTTCCCATGTAGAGCCATACCGCCAGGCAGGACCATGCAGGAATGACGCCAGCTCCCTCGTCCCAGGGACGTGCCCTGCTGTCCCCCTGCCCCCAGCTCTCATACGTGCAGTCCAAGCCGGGCCCTGGTGTTGGGACAGTGGGCGTCCCGCTCAGGGAGGCCCCGAGGCAGCTGTCACGGCTCCATCTTATGGGAGGAGCTCTCCCAGGGTGCTTCCTCCACCACCCCTGGGGACTGAGGTCCTGCTGGGACTGTCGGCGGCAGCCTTCTGCTCCGTAGGCAGGTGGGGAGGGTGGGGGTGAGCTCAGGGTGGGCCAGCGGTCAGCCAGGTGTCTGCACGCTCTTGGTCTGTCCACTCTAGCTCTCGTGGCTCCCAGAAAGTGTCTGGTCTCATCATGCGGTGCCATGGGGTGCGGGGTGGGAGAAGGTTAGCCAGGCAGGGGAGACAGCAGGTGGAGGCTGTCCAGGAGACAGCCCTGCCCAGGGCCAGTGCCCAAGTAACGTCCCTTTTTGCACAAGGCTGGACAGGAATTCAAGGGTCAAGCAGATTTCTCTCAGTAGAGATAGGCTTGAGCCAAAGTGGTTTGGTCCATCCCAGGCAGAAAGCGTGTTGCCATCTCCTCGAGCCCGTGTCTGTGTGTTGGTCCATTTGTCCATCGTTTGGGAGGCAGGCGGCTCAGGTAGCTGTGAGGGTGGGTCATCAGGCTGTCTGGACTCAACCAGAGACATGGGCTAAGAGGGCCAAGGGGCTCACTCGGGGGTGGATCAGGCCGGGGGAGGCCAGAACTGCCCTCCAACTGCAGCTGGGTCCCTGAGGGTGCGCTCAGCGGCCTTTTGGGCCTGGACTCCCCCACGCCTCCCTGGCCCAGCCAGCGTCTCCCGTGGATGCTCAGGGCCGCCCTCCCGCCTGTCTGTCCAGCTGCACCCTAGGCCTTAGGCAGCTAGGATTGGTCCTGTGTGCTGCCTCCCCCTCCCTTCTGAGCGGACCTTTCTGGCAAATCCCCATGGCAGCATCACAAGAGAAGCTTTAGCCTGGCGTGCCCTGCCTGTGTCGGGCCTCTCTGAGGCCAAGGCCTTGGGGACAGGAACAGGTGCCCTAGAACAAACCTGCCTCCACTCTCGTGGGTTAGCCCACCCACAGGCTTGCAGCCCCCTTTCCTAGACCTGAAGCAGGCAGTCTTTAGGACAGAGGTGGCATTTTTGCCACATTGGCTCTCTTTTTGCTCTTAGCCCACTGACCACCCACAGTAGCCGCTGGGCTTGTGGCCATCCCCTCTCGGATGGAGGCTGAGACTCAAGCATTGGCTGTTGTCAGAGCATGTGGGGACCTTTCTAGAACAGGGAGCTCAAAGAGAGTAGGCCCAGGGCCTTTGGTCCATGGCGACGTTTACTTGGGTGCATGCTGGGCACGTGCATGACTCAGCACATGGGGGAACGAGGTACAGCGACTTCGAGAGACACCCTGACCTGCAGATGAGGAAGCAGACGCAGGGTCTGGGCTGGGGATGCTTCCGAGGCCAGTGCCTCAGGCCCGGCCTGGCCACACACCAGCCGGCCCTCTCCTCCTCTCCATGTTCTGCCTGGCTCCATCCTGCCATCTTGCTGGTGGCATTGTGGGAATGGGCAGGGGCTCCAAGCTCCTTTTTCAGACATCTCCGCTGCCTGTGAGGGTCCCCAGCCCCCTGTTCCTCTCCTGGCCCCTCTTCCCCCTGCCCTGGCTGGCCTTGGATGAGCTGGAGTGGGGCTGCCCACTCACCCATGGGCCCTGGGCTCTCCCAGACAGGCAGCCCGGGGTGGACGGGTGAGCAGGGGCTTCCCATGTGCCTGTCCTGTGCTTGCTCGGCCAGCATCCAGCTCTGTGCACCCATCCTGTCCACGTGTGTGTGGCCTGCCACCCTGTCCAGTGTCTCCTCGGGGGCCTGACAAGCTCACTGAGCGCGCATCTTGTGCTGAACATCCAGAGCGCCTCCCGTCTTGGCCCAGTCACGTGCTTTCCTCTGCACCTGTCAGGCAGGGCTCCCCATCCCTGTGGCGCCCCATCCTCCATCCGATGGAACTGGGGTCACCCCACTGGGCTCAAGGAGAGGAGATGGGGGATGGAGCTTTGGGAGATGGGTGCAGAGGTTCCCCAGGAGCAGCCCGTGGAAAGGAGCAGTCATCCTGAGTGGGGGAAGCCCTCCATCCCGGAGGTCGTGGGCTCTCCCGGGGGCCCTGAGATAGGCGTGGTTGGCCTCCTTCCTCCAAGCATCCTCCCTGTGGGCGCACGCAGCCTGTGGCAGGCCCCATCTTGGGGCCGTGACGACAGAGGCCTCTCTTCCATCTGCAGCACTCTTCCACCCTGGGCGGCGTGTTTGGGGACTCGTACTACGAGCAGCAGATGGCAGCCAGGCAGGCCAATGCTCTGTCCCACCAGGTGAGCGGGCGCCCGGGCCGTAGCGCCCACCGCAGATGCCCGCCCGGACCGCGCCTGCCTCTCGGGCACAAGCTTCAGTCCCCACGCTTTGGGGGATGGCTTGGCTTTGCCTCCCCCGGCATCTGCACCCAGCCCACAGTATGTGGCCAACTGCAGAACAGGAGGAAGGGCAGATGGTGAACACCAGCAGGGACGGGCAGTGGCTGTCACTGTGGCCTCTCAGTGTGGGCCTTGCATGTGGGTTTGCTGGGAGATCATGCTGGCTTCGCGTGGAGGCTGGGATCAGTGGCGTACAGCATGGGAGGGGTTGGCTGCTACCTGGAGCTGGTCACCCATTCGCCCATCCATCCATCTATCCATCCGTCCATCCATCCAGCCCTAGGAGGCCGTGTGCAGGGAGGCCTGGGTACATTCAGAGAGGGGGAGAGGGGGAGATCCCAGAGCAGAGGGACACATGCTCGGCAGCCCCAGGTGTGCCTGAGCACTGGTGCTGGGTGTCCTGCAGAGAAAGTGGTCCTGGTGGCTGCAAAGCAGGCAGCCAACAGCAGTCAGGGGCTCAGAGGGGCCGGCCTCATGCCTGTGTGCTTTCCCTCCCAGCTGGAGCAGTTCAACATGATGGAGAATGCCATCAGCTCCAGCAGCCTGTACAGCCCGGGCTCTACGCTCAACTACTCACAGGCGGCCATGATGGGCCTTACGGGCAGCCACGGGAGCCTACCAGACACACAGCCGCTCGGTTACCCCAGCCACAGCAGCATCCCCAACATCATCCTCACAGGTGAGGCCGCTTGTGCATGGCATCCTGGGTGGGAGTCTCAGTCATGGTGGCCCCGTGGGGCCTGGCAAGCTCGAGAGGCCTCAGCCCCAGGGAAAATGGAGCCCCTGGCCTTGGCATGAGCCTGAGGAGGCCAGACACACCCCCAACCTTGACTCACTGCTAGGCTGTGAGACAGGCCAGGGGGACACACACTGGATCCTGGACTGCGCGTCCAGCCCCCCATGCTCAGAGCGAGAGCAGGACAGAGTCAGTCTGCCACCCAGGCCCCTGAACCCTGTTAACTGAGTGTGCTGGGGATGCAGGTGACTGGAGAGTGGGCCCTGCTGGTGGGGCTTGTCACTTACAGCCAACAGACATGTAACAGCTTGCACATGCTGTGGTGAGCACCCTCGAGTGGCCTGAACACAGTGCCCAGGTGCCCAAGGATGTGCACAGTGGACGGAGGAAGTCCCTGCTCTGTCTAGCATAGAACCCAGACCCTCTGATGCCTCCCCTTTCATCTTCCCCATGAAGGTTCTGCGTTTTATTGAAGAAGGAAGCAATTTCCTTATAAGCCAGGGCTGTTGTGGGATTGAGGATGACGCCCACTGACATCTCCAGGATGGAGGAGTCCATGCCCAGATCCCCCGAGGCCTGGGCTGCGAGTGTAGACCCAGTGTTTCCTCCCCACCCCGAGGGTGTGGCAGTGAGCTGTAGATGATCTGGCGGGGTCAGCAGCCTCTGACACGTGAAAAGGAGCAGGGCCCTGTGATTGTGCCAACAGCTCAGAAACACCAGGACTTTCATACCCGTTTCCCAGGACAGGAAACCGAAGCCCAAGGTCTCACCACAAGTAGAGGAGGGAGCCCAGGTTTGAACCTGGGTCTCTGCAGGGGAGCCCGCACTTCCCTCCAGCCCACAGGGAACGCCCCACCACACACGCACACACGTGCTGCAGCCTGCTGCTCAGTGGCACACACACAGGAGACCGCCTAGCAGAGCAGGAGAGGCCCTGCTTCCGCCAGGTCACACTGACGTTTGTCTGTGCCGCAGCCCTTAGCTCAGGACTTCCCAGCTTTGGCATGGCTGACACCTGGGTCTGGATCTTTCTCTGGGGCGGGGCCGTCCTGTGGGCTGTGGGGTGCTGAGCAGCATCCCTGGTCTCCACCCACCTGGTGCCAATAGCATCCCCACTCCCCAAGTTGTCACAACTAAAAATGCCCCCAGACGTTGCCAATGTCCCCTGGAGGGCAAACCCCCAGGTAAGTGCCCCTGGTGTGGCCCAGGCCCCTCTTCCCGAGCACTGATGGGGCTGTGGGGGTGCAGCAGGGTAGGGGGACGGGGAACCAGCCGGGACCAAGCTGAGGCTTTTGTCCATCCTGTTGCCCCCAGTGACAGGAGAATCCCCACCCAGCCTCTCTAAAGAACTGACCAGCACGCTGGCCGGGGTCGGCGATGTCAGCTTTGACTCCGACAATCAGTTCCCCCTGGACGAACTCAAGATCGACCCCCTGACCCTGGACGGACTGCACATGCTCAACGATCCTGACATGGTCCTGGCCGACCCTGCCACTGAGGACACCTTCCGGATGGACCGTCTGTGAGCGAGCGGCACACTGCTGCCCAGCCCCTGGCTCCCTCACCCCGCCGGTCAGTGGTCCCGACGGCATCTCCCCAAAAAAGCCCTGGGACGGCCATGCTCCGTCCCTCGCAAACGGCCGAGCTTGTGATTCTGAGCTTGCAATGCCGCCAAGCGCCCCCTGCCCTCCCACCTGCCCTTGGCTGTCCCCCTCCCTCGTGAGGCCGAGCGTCGCCCCGTGGACCTTCCCTGTGTGCGCGCTCTCGCCCCCCACCCAGGCCCTGAGCCGTCCCCCCGGAAGATGCGGAACGCATGTTGGGCAGGGCCCCCGGCCTGGGGGGCGCCGTGGTCCTCGGCGGCGGTGGGCTGAGGTGCATTTTCCGACTGTTGTCCAGCTCTCACTGCCTTCCTTTGTCCCTGGTTTCCCCACCTGCCTGCCACCCCCAGCCCATGGTTAGGTAGAGAGCCAGCCCCACTCTGCCAAAGGGAGGAGGCACCAGAGAGAGGGGCCGACACAAAGCAAAATAAACACTATTTTGACTGCTGTCTTTTATATTTCTGAGCACACGCAACGCTAGAGCCCATGCCCTGGCGGCGGGGGGCCGGGGTGTGAACGGAGCCCTCGGAGCAGCTCCATCTCCCCGGGGCCCACAGCCGCCTCGCCCACTCTGGCCGCCGCACAGGCCTGCTGGGCGTGCCCGTGGAGGCAGGGATGCCTTCTGGGGTCTTACGGCTTGTTCTCTTCTTCCTTTCTTTGTCCTGTGGTCACCGTTACTGCTCTTTAGAGCGTGAGCAGGAGCGGGGGCAGCCAGGGCATTTTTGTGTTTTTGTTGGTCTCTTGGTTTGCCTTCCATTTTGGTTGTAGAGGAGTAGCTGACTCCTTCAAGCCAGCACTTGCCTGAGAGCATGTTTTTATTCCAGAAATCCTGTGTTAGGTATTTTTTAAGCTAACTGGAAGCCATCCGCTGCCTGCCCAGGTCTGAGCTGCCTCCCCGACTTTTTAGTTCCGCCCCGAGTTATCCACACGGAAGCCCAGCGGCTGGCGGGCCGCGTGAGAGCGCCTCGTCTTGGTGGGGCTGTGGCAGCAGCTCGCAGCAGTAGCTGGAGGGCGTCTGCTGTGGCCACGTAACAGGCTTCCAGCAAGGAGCCACGGCTTTTATCGAGGGTCTGGAGAAGACCCACTCTGCCTGGCGCCCCAGACCCCCAGGCCAGCAGCACCTGCGGTTCCTCTGCTCCCAGATACCCCAGAGATGAGGCTGTCTTCTCACCCCTCCCCCTGGAGAGCCACCAACCCGGCGCCCCCTCTGCCACGCCTCTTGTAGCCCCTCCTGGCAGGGCTGGATTGGGAGGCAAAGAGCAGTGTGCTTGTCAGCAGCACGTTTCCAGGTGCTTCTCCAAGTGCCTCTGGAGGCCGAGGGGACTGTCCCTGTGCCCTCCAGTCCCTGCAAGGGGGCAGTGGGGGTGGCTGCATTTTCTGACAGCTGCTCTGGAATAGGAAGCTCCATTTCAGGCCCTCAGACTCTCATCTCAGCTCCCGCTTGCTCCTCTGCCTGCCGGCCGGGCTGACACCCTCTGCCTGGTGCATTTCTCTGTGGTGTCACATCCACCGCCTCTGCTGGGGTTTTCGGAGCCCGGCCTCTGTCCGTGGGAGCCAGATTTGATCCTAGCGACTGTCCCTCTTGTTCCATCGAAGCAGCTGGGTGGCCACACGTGTGAAAAGCGCCCCCGCTCAGACACCAAACCCCGCCGCCGTTGTCTGGGCTGAGGACAAGTGTTGGTCCATCCAGGTCAAGGGCCCGACCTCTTATGGTGGCGGGAGCTGGGGGCAAGGAGTGGGGACTTTTTTTTTTAAAGAAAAACTACATGTACATAGAAGAGTTTGATTACCATTAGACTTGTCTGTAGAACTTTTTTAAAAAAGGCCTTAATAAAATTACAAGCAACCTTCCTGGGTGCAATTTTCAAACAAAGCAGTGGGGACCCCATGAAGGAGCCTCATCAGCCCGCACTTCCTGTCTGCCAGGCGCCGGGTTCTTGGAGCAGACAGGCAGGAGAGGAGGGGTGTCCAGCTCCGTAGCCTGTTTCCAGCATCCCTCGGCCGGGAGCACAGGTGACATTGTGTTAACATGGTGGTCTCCGCCATGAGGGGTGTTGGTGCAGAGCTTTCCTGGGGAGGGAGGTCAGCCAGCAGCCCGTGGGCAGGTATCCCTGTGCCCCCCAAGGGCTCACACCCCTCCAGGGCCTGGACAGCCTCCCGGGGCCTGCAACAGGGGGTTTTGTTTATTTCTTAAATATTGCTTCTCTACTAAATATTCTTGAATTGCCAAGACTTTCTGAAACAAGACAGCCTGAGGGAATCAGCCCTTTGACTTGTGATGTGAAAATACTGTGATTTCATGCGAGCTGTGTCGTAAGAGGTGGGCCGGGGCCCCCACATCGTGTGTATAGACCTGCTGCTTGCGTCCTCGCTCGCTCACTTGGGACAGGCCTGGATGCTCAGCCCACATTGGGTCAGGGGCCCGGCCAGGCTGTCCCCCTGCTGTCAACCCCTGAGTGCTCCCAGTTTCAGCTGAGCCCCCTCAGCTGTGCACACTTTTCCCCCCCGGGAGCACAAGCTGCCCAGCCTGTCCCACCTGCCTCAGTTTACTCCATCCTCCATGTCCCCAGGGCAGCGAGTTTGTTACCCCAGGAGGCTACAGGTGGAGCCCAGGGGGTCAGCCCCACTCTGTGTCGCCTGGAAAGAAGGTTTATGCCCCAGCCCCCATCAGTGTCATGAGCCACCATGCCCAGGGCTGCCGTGGGGGTGGGGAAGGAGGGCTCTTGTTCGGACCATGTCTGTGTCATAGACACCCGTGCCGACCTCCACCCCCACGTGCCCTTACCAGTGGGAAGATGGGCAGCACTTTTCGGGGCATCTCGCAGTCCCCTCCCTGCTCTCCTCACTCATCCTGCCCCCCCCGGCACTCTTCTGGGCGGAAAGGGTGGGTGCCAGCCCCTTGGGGCAGGAGGCCCTGAGACCCTCAGTGGAAAGTCAGGGGTCAGGTTGACCTTTCAGCAAAATTTGGGGCCCACAGACGGTGGCATTCAGAAACCATCCAGGCTCCCCTGCAGACAAGCCCCACAGAGGGGCCCTAATTGTGGTGGGACCAGCCCCTGCCTCTACTGTGGTCCACAGCGCCCCCTGGGACCAAACCCGAGAGGCCAGAGGGCAAGGGCAGGCCGGTGTTTGTGGCCCTTTCCCCAGGGACACCTCCACACAGACCTCCTGCCTCCTGCTGGCCCCGGGCACCCACCTGCCTTGTGGGAGTGCACTGTGGGGGGGCCCGGCGGCAGATGCTCAGGCTGGCTCTGGCGGCCTCTCTGCTCTTATCTACTGTGGGTTTCGGAGGCTGGGAAGGAGCTTTCTGACGTTGTTGGGTTTGGTCTCATTTCTTTGGGTGGCCGAGCTCCTGGGAGGACACCTAGCTGGATGGGTCCTGTCACAAGGCCCGTGTGTCACTGTGAGGTGGGTGAGGATGGCTGACCATCCATCAAATGCCATGAGACCCCCACGTGGAGGGCGGGAGGGCGAGAGGCCGCACGTCCATGTGTTCATCTGTCCTGCTGGTGGCGGGTGTCTGGTTTGGGGGCTGTGTGCCTGGTGCTGGCTGTGACCTGGTCAGAGGGGACGTGAGCAGGTGCGAGGCCCATGAGGGGCTGGCAGGGCTTGGGCAGCAGGGGTAGCTCCCCCTCTGCCCAGCGTCCTGGACCTGACGAGCCCCCACTAGTGACTATCCCTAGAGGGGCCCTGGGGAGCTAAGGACCCCTCCCCACACCTCCACATCTCGGCCCACCCCTAGCTGGTCCATAACCTAGACATCCTTCCAGACCCCTGCCCCTAACTGAATTCTGTTTTCTGCATTGCCAAAGACGGCATCCCCACCCCGGGCGCACGCTACATGGGGAAGCCAGGCAGTATTGGGGGTCAACCCCCCGGCTCTGACAAAGCAGCAGCAGCACCCGCAGCCCTTCCTGGGTTCTGAGGGAGCCACACTCGGAGGCCAAGGGGCCCCTCGGCGTGAGGATGGGGTGTGGAGGCCACAAGGTCAAGGGTATGAGGCGCTCCTCGTCCTGGGCCATCACCCCTGTAGGTGGCGCCGCATGAGGGAGCCGAGGCCACCTGAGCTCTTGCCACCTGCCTGCAGAGCTGGGGGAGGACTAGGTGCCCGCTGGGTGAGTGGGCAGCTGGGTCTGTTTCTGCCCCTGTTCTTGAACCCTGGGCCCCTGCCTCCTGGGGAATCTCACAGCATGTGACTAGGGGACCCTGGGACATTCCCTGTCAGGCCCTGTCCTGCCAGCTCTGCCTGAGCCAACTCTCTTGGGCTTCCCTCAGCCCTCGGCCTCCAGGGGTCCTGGCTGGTGGGCTCAGGCACCTTTTGTGATCCTGGGGCTGCCGCAGGCGACTGACACCAGACACAGTTCTGCCCCTGAGACCAGTCCCAGGAGAGGGAGGTGGGGTGACCTGCACCCCCAGGTCTTGGCTGTGGGGTACTCCAGAGGACATGGGGGGGGCAGGAACAAGACCCTTATGACCCGGGCCTCAGTTTCCCTCTTGTCATTTGCAGGTCTCGGGGCCCCACATTCCTCCCAGGCAGGGTGGTGGGCAGGGGCTAGATGTCAGGGTGATGCTGACTCCACGGCCCCCTCCACCTTCTGTTCTCCTGGCCAGCCCTCAACACTCAGCCCGAGGAGCCAGGGAAATGAGGCATGTGCAGGGGGCAGAGAGTTGCCCCTGTCTCAAAGGGTCCTGGAATTTAGGGGCAATCAATGCCCAGCTCATCCTAGCCTGTCATTTCCGACCTCTTGCCCATTGGGGACAAGGGGACACAGCCGTGGCCTTCGCCACCAGGCCCTGGGAGGGAGGGCTTTGGCAGCTGAGGTCTACTTATCCCGCCATGCCCCTGTAGGAAACTGCCCCCTGAGGAGCGGGGCAGCACCACTGATATATGCAAACCCACTGGTCCGAGCCCTGCCCCGCCTGTGTCCCTCTGTCCCCAGGCTGGCTCTGCCCACCCCGCATGTACACTCTCCTATGGATGTCCCGTGGGCCATGTGCATGGGAGCCCGCGGCAGGTGGGGGCGGGCGGCTCAGGGTGCACTCAGCCGGCCCCTGCCCATCCTCTCTGGCTGGACGCTTTTGTCTTTGTATCTTTGCATCCTTTGTAACAAAATGTAATAAAAATCCAATGTTTTTGTCTGTGCCTCCTCTGCTTTTTTCCTGCCCCTTCCCCCACCCCAGGAACGAAATGTGGGTGTTGCAGGTGCACCAGGTGGGAGCCACACACAGGCCACACACACACACACACGCGCGTGCGCGCGTGCATGAACACAGACATGCAGATGTAGCCCTCACACAAACACGCCAGCTACTTGGGCCTGGAGCCTGGAAGGGGAGGGCCCCGCCCCCCAGGATCCTGGGACAGACACTCCAGGGGTGAGGTCCAGGCTTGTGACTGCGAGTGGGTGGGATGCACCAGCTGGCCTGGGGCCTCCAAGTCAGGCTGCTG